TTTGGATTGTTGGAATCTTAATTCTTAGCAAATTTCTTAGCTTAGATTGGAATTTATTTGCCACGATTCGATTTAACAGGACAAGACACGACAAAACAAGGTTCCGAGGCAGATGAATTACATGTTAGAAGCCTAAACGATAAATACAGTTAAACCAAAAAGACAATATTTGGAGCTACTTCACTCAACTGACTTGTAAATAAATAACAGAAAGGTAGAATGTGTTTTTTCTACGAGCGTTTGGAAAATGGCTCTTTCGGCACTATTTGCTGTGCGGGAAGCTTTTCTTATTTTGTGTGTTGTTTTCTTTCCAATTCATTTATAAATTTACTTTCTGCACAGTCGCATTTTATTCAAATTACATTTTTCGTAACATCACCAGTACGCTTGTAGAAAAAATCTAGTTCCTGAAGCTTGCGGGAAGAAATTTCCGGCTTACGGGCGCTTTGCACACTCGTGTCGGATATGTCTCCTCCCGCACTTGTTAGGAAAATAGCTATTAATTATTTACATTCGGCAGTTAAGACAGAATACCAATGCAATGTCTGAAGAATATCCTGAATGTCTAACCATTTTACCTACTTATTTAATTTTGTGTGTACCTACCCTACCACCACCTCATAAACACCATATACTAAACTCAATGACTAAACTAATACCACAGCTAATACACGAAGTCACGTAGTCATGTCACATCACAAATTGAATTTTATAGATTATACAACTCACTGTACATTATTCACATATGACACGGGAGGCTTAATAAGTGATAAGCCTCTTGGGATTATCGCGCTTGGTGGTATTTATAGCAAATTCTATTATAGAAAAAAATTCAAATTTTAAAGTATTAAAGTTTAGTTCGTTGTATAACCTTTTGAATACCACTCGATGTTTCAGGATTACCTAATACTTTTACCTGACACTCAACGCGTTACCAGCAACACCAATCCTCCTTCGGAGTCGTGGTGTTGCTGCGTAACGCGTTTCGTGACAGGTAAAAGTATTATCCGGTAATCCTGAAACCTCTTGTGGTATTACATTCGAAAATTTCATGGAATTTTATGAAATTTCATCGAAATTTTCATGATATTTTGGAAATTTTCAGAAAAATTCGGAAATTTTGAAAATTTCACGGAAATTTCAAAAATTTCAATATTTCCATGAAAATTTCAGAGTGAAATTTCCAAATGAAAGGAAAAGTGAAATTTACCCAACCCTAGTTACACCTGCCTCCAAAATCTCCTGATCTTGTGTGGTCTCAGCTTAAGTTACTGGTATGATCGCGCGAAAATGCTCCCAAACGCTGGATAAGTTCGCACTTGCCATAGAAGAAGAGTGGCAAAATAACCCTCAGGCATTCATTAATATCTTGGTTGAGAACATGCCACGGCGATGCCAAGACGTTGTGAATGTGAGAGGAGGGCTTACTAGCTTTGAATCTTACTTTGATTAGGTAGTTTTTTAGTTCACTTATTTTGATACATTTTACCTAGGTATCTACCTAACTAAACTGAAAATACTTCTCAACGCATTTAAAGTAGGGGAATTTCGGATGTTATCGGTTGACAACGGCGCGCGACGTTGTATGATTTGAATTAGTTATTCACCTAACAATTGCGGAAAGTTATACTTTTCGCCAGCGGAGTTCGTGCAAGCCGTAAGTGCGGAAAAAATACTTTACGCTCGTGTTAGGTACAACATTTTTCCTACGAGCGTGCGGAAATTAACATATAGTTTTTTTATTTGTTTTTGGCTCTATACTGATTAAAGAAATTGTGAAAAATTTGATTTTTTAATGAAGTTTAATAACGCAATAATTTTAACAACAGAACATTAACAATTATTTTCATTATAAGTAGAATTATTTATTTATGATATACAACTCATTGAAGAGGTCGATATTGGTCAGTACAAAGACCCAATAGCTTTCTTGAACAGAAAAAACGGTGGAGCAATTTCGGAAGGGACTAAAATGTTTGAGAAGCATGACATAGAGGGAAAAATTGGATTAAAAAAAAAATCAGTGCGTGAAAAACTTTTCTCGGGCACAGCGTGCGTGAAAAAGTTTTTTCGCGCACGCCGTGCGGAAAATTAGTACTTTCCGCATGCAAATCAGTGCGTGAAAACGCGTTTTCCGCACGCTCGTAGGAAAAAACATTTTCAAATAAATAACACGTGTCGATTCATTTTGTTATTTCTAGCTGTCAGTGGTCTTGATAATTTATTATTACATTCTGGTAAATTATAAGAAAAAAAAAAGGCATTGACAATATTGTCAGTCCTTGTTCTACGACATCATCCTAAATATAACGTAAAAACCCTATAGGAACACTTTTTGTGTTTTGTTTTAAATCAACTTAAAGAAGCATTAACGTTGTTCATATAATTTTTTGTTTGGCAGATAATGTTATTTACCATCCTTAACTTTATTTTGTGATACTGCTACCATTAGTGGAAGAATTTTTAATTGAAATACCTTTAAACATGAAGCTACAAAGAAAATTAGCAGGTAATAAAAATTCGGGTTTCCACTCACCACAACCAAATCGGTTCCGAATATTTAAATTTTATCAGTGGTATAAATAATTATTAGCACGCTACTGTATAGCATATCATTGAGGTATTCGAAATTTTTAATCATAAAAATAAGCTAATCGAAAGATATTACAATTGCTAATAAAATTGATTTAATGAAAAATAATAATTTCTCTTTGCACGCCACTGTACAGCATATCATTGAGGTATTCGATATTTTTAATCATAGTAAATACGCTGGCTGAAAGGTATAACCATTGCTAAAAAAATTCACCGGTAAGAACGATTCAGGATGGTTTAGAACGGAAAAATCGAAAAAATTAATATGGTTATGTTAAATAAACGATATTTTAAAAACAAAGGCAAATATCAAAATTTTGAGAAATTGGTTTCTTAATAATATGTCAATGATTAAAGTGAACTAATCAAATGAAACTTCAAATGATTATTTTTAAAATTATGCACCTTTGAATGTAAAATTCGGTGAGCCATTAATAAATTATTCCGAAAATGGGCGATTATCAGTACGCTACTGGACACCACACTATTTAAGTAATTTTTTTTCATTGAAAATAAACCACTATATCGTGGGGTATATCAAACAGCAGCATAAGATTCAAGATTTATTGTACAGGATAGTTTAGGTGCTTAAAAATTGAAAAAAGTGGGGGTTATGAAAAAAAGTCGATATTTTTAAAACTAAGGCAGGTATAAAAAATTTGAGAAATTAATTTTTTTGCAGAAGATCATTGATTAAAACGCCGCATAGAAATAAAATTTAAAAAATTATCTGAAAAAGTTACACACATTCAAAATTGAGATGAAAAACATGGACTCTTTTAACACCCTGTATAAAAAAAAAGTAGACATTTAAAAAAATTTCAAAATTGCAATTTTTTTCACAAAAAGTCAATCTGTCAGCCCGTGAAAACCGCAGGTCGATATCTATACTGGTTCCAAAAATATCGATCTTGAAAGTTAGGCGATATTTACCTTGTTCGAAAGCAATTGTCCAGCAGTTTATTAGTCTCTCAGAACAATGAATCTAGAAATTCTAAGATAAATTTTCTAACTTGAAATTGAGAAATTTGACAACTACATTCACAGTCGACTGATTTAAATAAAAAAAATCTTGCAGAAGTTTAATATGAGTGATTCTAAACCATACAACCTAGGTAACGTAAATTTCAGCAAAATTAAAAAAAAAAAAAATTACCAAAACATTGTCATATAGGGAATTGATTGGTTCTCTAATGTATGTTATGCTTGGCTGCTTGGCACAAGGCCTGATTCGAGTTTTTCCATCAGAAATAGGATTTCTATATTTCTCTAGTTCAATTTTGACTCCAGCAGGACCCGGACCAGGAATACGATTTTCATATTTCTACATGTTCAAATTTCATTTCTATGAGAGTAGATTTTTAACAAATCAATTGCATTTAATTATTTTTTATTTCTTTGAAATATTGTTTTTCGAAATTGTAAATTAAATAAGTCAAAAAGTATAAAACGCTCGCAACAAAACTCCAATGCATAAAAACATTTTCCTGTTTTGATGGTTCGTTAGCGGATAAATTTTCTTTTGTGTGAAAATACTCGTAAAAAAAAAAAACGATTGGTGAAACCGAATTTACATTTTAGATGTAATTTTGTTTTTTTTGGAGATAATGCTACATGACATGAATCCTCTATAAAAATAAAGTTTTCTTGTAATTTGCATCTTAATCTATTGGAGATATTATTATATCAAAAAAAATTGAGATAACAAGGACGTCGTAGTCACTGGTATTATGCATCATTCAAAGTTAATATTGTTTAGAATGTATAATCAATAGAACATAAGTGATGCGATGTTAATCACACTTATCACTGTGGCATGTTTAAACATATCAAATACCAAAATGAGACATTAATCACGGAACATTCGCATTTATTTGCCTAATAACAAGGGCGTTTAATTAAGTAAGGTTTTTTTTTGTGTGTTTTAAGAGGATCATTGACTATTTTTAGATAGGCGGATTGACTAGTTTTGAACATGCAATTTTTGTATATTGGAGAGAAAAAAAAATCAATTTTCTTATGGCTGGTAGGACTTGATTTAATCCAAATCCAAATTATGCTCTTTATCACTAAGAATAGTACAAAACCGAATAAGATCAAGATATTTGGTAGATTTTCTAGTTATGTGTGGCTCACAGTGAATAGAAAGAGGCTGGTTTTATATTGTTTAGGAAATATTTGAAGTAATCCAAATAATTGTATGCCTTTCTCAATGAAAATAAATTATTCTAAGAATTTGAAGTCCAGAGAATCAAAAAAAAACTTCGTAATTTACCTTGTTATAAACTAATAACGCCACAATTTATAGAAAAAAAGTAATGTTTCGCCCACATTGTTCTCTTGTCGATGCGTACGCAAAGAACAGGCGAAACCAAACCGAAGAACGAACTGGAATATATAAGGGGACGTAACACTTGCTGAACTTATCATTCGTGCGCCCTATCAACAGGTTAACTAACACCACGATACCAGTAGTTGATAGATCTACCAGTGTTCAGTGTGGACGTTAAATTCAACTTATAACAGGTAAAAATTTATTTTTATAATAATGTTGCAATTTACTTTAACTAACTATCTATTATAGCGTGGAATAAATAATTATTATATTATGTGTTAACATTTTTCAAGATTTTTATCGTCGTTTTCATGCTGTTAATTTATTAAACGGTGCTGTGAAAATTTAAATTTTTGCTCATTAGTCCTCCTGTAGTAAAATAACGAGAATGCAATTTCTTCGTTTGTTCCTTCTGGGCGAAAATAATTTATGAAATTTTTAATTACGTTTTTGTTTCAACGAAAGATTCTCTTTTTTCTTTTTAATTAGTAAAATTTAAATTGAAAGGATTTTACAAAATCGATGGCTTAATGCTAATGGCAAAATTGTTTATGTATAGACATTTAAATTGGATTTTTGTATGTATGTGTGTATACATAATTGCCACCAAAATAATTTCAATCAAAACTACATAAGTCCCTTTGGAAAACTCAATACAATAACTTTTTTTTTGAGAGCAAATATATTATTAGAAACTAACTTTATGTAACTCAATAAGGGTTTGAGAAGTGGCCCAAAAGTTATAACAACAAAACTTATGGGAGGTAAGTATATAGAACCCTTCGAAATTGTATTATGTAGTTGAGGTTGAAATAAAAATATTGAATCATAAGTTGAATAATAATAATTTCTTATAGGGTGATGTGAATGTTAATTATTGGTTTATTGGGAAGTTGAAATTCAACATTTTTTCCCCAGGTTTTCAAATATGTTGAGATTTTGTGTTTAAAATTTTCAAATTTCCTCCTTATTCCTCAATGGAATTTTATCTTTATTTTGTTCATGTTAGATCAAGAACCAAATAATCACATTTTGGATTATTACCGGCTCTTGATTCGCTAGAAAATTCTCCTTGAACCAATCAAGAGCCAGTGATAGTCAAAATTTGAATTTTGATTCGCTAGAATTGCTGGAAAGTTTTCCTGGAACCAATCAAGAGGTTACCTTATACAATCAAATTGCATAATTTCAAATTTTTTTTTTGTCGAGATTTTGTTTCCTAATGGTCAATTACCATCCCCCAAACTCCATACACTAAATTATTTCCAGATTTGAAGCCGAAATCTATGAAAAAAGGCACTCAGAAAAATTGAAAAATTGATAAATCACCCCAAATTGCTTAACACGATTTTATCTCTGGAACTATAAGTGCAAATGAGCTGAAATTTTCAGGGATAATAGTTCCTTGATTGGGATAAAATTCAGTGGAAGTTTCAGCTTTCTATCTATAATAGAAAAAAAGTTATGACCTTTCAAAGTTTTCCAAAATCTAAATCATAAGGTAGGTACCTTCTTACTAAAACGATGAAATTTCAAAATTTTTTTTGTTGGGATTTTGTGTCCTAATGGTCATTTGGGATTCTCTAAACTCCATACACCAAATTATTCTCAGATTTGAAGCCGAAATCTATGAAAAAAGGCACTCAGAAAAATTGAAAAAATGATAAATCACCCCAAATTGTTTAACACGATTTTATCTCAGGAACTATAAGTGCAAATGAGCTGAAATTTTCAGGGATTGTAGTCCCTTGATTGGGATAAAATTCAGTGAAAGTTTCAGCTTTCTATTTATAATAGAAAAAAAGTTATGACCTTTCAAGGTTTTCCAAAATCTAAATCATAAGGTAGGTACCTTCTTACTAAAACGATGAAATTTCAAATTTTTTTTTGTTGGGATTTTGTGTCCCAATGGTCATTTGGGATTCTCTAAACTTCATACACCAAATTATTCTCAGATTTGAAGCCGAAATCTATGAAAAAAGGCACTCAGAAAAATTCAAAAAAATGATAAATCACCCCAAATTGTTTAACACGATTTTATCTCAGGAACTATAAGTGCAAATGAGCTGAAATTTTCAGGGATTGTAGTCCCTTGATTGGGATAAAATTCAGTGAAAGTTTCAGCTTTCTATTTATAATAGAAAAAAAGTTATGACCTTTCAAGGTTTTCCAAAATCTAAATCATAAGGTAGGTACCTTCTTACTAAAACGATGAAATTTCAAATTTTTTTTTGTTGGGATTTTGTGTCCCAATGGTCATTTGGGATTCTCTAAACTTCATACACCAAATTATTCTCAGATTTTAAGCCGAAATCTATGAAAAAAGGCACTCAGAAAAATTCAAAAAAATGATAAATCACCCCAAATTGTTTAACACGATTTTATCTCAGGAACTATAAGTGCAAATGAGCTGAAATTTTCAGGGATTGTAGTCCCTTGATTGGGATAAAATTCAGTGAAAGTTTCAGCTTTCTATTTATAATAGAAAAAAAGTTATGACCTTTCAAGGTTTTCCAAAATCTAAATCATAAGGTAGGTACCTTCTTACTAAAACGATGAAATTTCAAAATTTTTTTTGTTGGGATTTTGTGTCTTAATGGTCATTTGGGATTCTCTAAACTTCATACACCAAATTATTCTCAGATTTGAAGCCGAAATCTATGAAAAAAGGCACTCAGAAAAATTGAAAAATAGATAAATCACCCCAAATTGCTTAACACGATTTTATCTCAAGAACTATAAGTGCAAATGAGCTGATATTTTCAGGGATTGTAGTCTCTTGATTGGGATAAAATTCAGTGAAAGTTTCAGCTTTCTATCTATAATGGAAAAAAAATTATGACCTTTCAAAATTTTCCAAAATCTAAATCATCTTCCTGCTTCGTGCTGAAATTTTCAGGAATTGTATTTCTCTACTGGAATAAGAATCGCTGAAAATTTGACCCTCCAAAGTTTTCCAAAATCTAAATCACAAGGTAGAATTTGTTTTCTTTTGGCCTTCTAAATATCCAAAGAAATTCTCCTAAATGCATGTAAAATAGGATTTCAACAACATTTTGTGCGATTTTTTACTTCTTTTCAATGAAAAATCCTTTCACTTATGGCACTTGAAAACACAAAATGATCTTGAGTAAATGAACATACTTCCTCATGACTTTTTCTATTGAAAAATCCAGAAAAATCTCTGCTTTCCACCATATTCATTCAGATTTTATCATTACAGTTCATGTAACTACTTCAAATTCTGTTAAAAAATCTATAATTTTCCAGATTTTTCTGCGGTATCATCGTTTGTCCCACAATATGATCATCAAGAAATTTTTCAAAAATCTTCTTTGAGCTGTTTCAAGAGTAAAAACTGCCCCTCTCATCAGACATGACACAAAAATCAATATTTATAAAATATTCCTGTAGGATTGGGACGAGTCAACGTTGCACATATTAATAGCGGTTCAAGGGATAATCAGGTTCTACTTGGTTAATTATCGAATCGAATCGAGGAGGGGATGTAACAGGATATTAATATTTTAATACGGCAGAGCTGGAGCGTTTATCTCGACTAGAGCGAAATAAAACGGGAATGATTGTCGGTGACGTGCAGCAAATCCAATTTTCGAGTCTGCTTATGAAACTTTATCAATAGAAAATTGAAATACACTATGGGGATTTAAATGTTTTATACCTATATACATAGAGGATTTTTCGTATTGGGAATTAAAATCAAATTTGAAATTTCCTATATAATAATATGGCTAAATTAGAAATTTAATTATAATATATTAAGAACTTAAAGAGAATTTTTGATTGGATTTTAAAATTTTTTTCACACAGCAACTTCAACTTATATAAACATATTTCACCGTATAATACTAACAATTTGTCATAATATGTTGACTTACGACAGTCAAGTAATATAAATGGGCATTGAATAATTGAAATATATTGGCAATTGAAAATTAGTAGTGACGTCATCACACATCGGTTATTCTCTCGTGGAACGAGTCTTGTCACGGGGGCAGCAACCCAATTAAGAAAATCACATTTTTGATCGAAAAAGCAGAGTAAATATTGTCAAGACAAAATCGCGTTATTCCTGGCGAGTACGTGAGCTCGAAGCAAATTTTAGAGTTAAGGAAGAGTCTATTAAAAAAAAAAAAGATTAATTTAATTTTTAATTTCCGGAAATATTTGAGAAGACAATGTTCCTCTTAGCTAAGGATTTACTACTTCTAATTTAACTGTGTATGTGATTTAACCTGCACCATAATCGTTAGCAATTAGAGTCAGGAGAGAAACTCTATTACAAAATAACTCTTAGCCCTGAAACGGTGCAATAGTGTTGCCTAATACTACAAGCAAATTTATGGGCTCTTGTAATATTTTACGGCGGCAGGATACAATAATTTACAATGTCATAAATTTTCGGTTAAATATTTATAGATTTTTATGTCAATATGTGTTTGCTATGTCATAAGTTTCAGGTTGAATATTTATGGGTTTTATACAGCAGAAATAAAATAAATCGCGTATAAAAGTCAATTATTTTGGAGCTACTTTGTATGATAACTATATCTCCTACAAGAATTGAAGTTTACTACTCTATAGGAGAGCCTGAAATAGGATTTTTATTCATTTCAGTTGAATTTCAGCTCAATCAGAGCGTAAAATGAGCTCCTCAAACTGCTCTATTTGAACTGTAACTTCAAAATTACCAGAAATCGTAGTTTGAGAGCCAAAATTGACATTTCAAAGTGCCATAGCTTAAATTTAACATTAGAATTATCAGGAATTGAAGTTTACTACTCTAGAACAGCCTGGAATAGGATTTTTATTCATCTCAGTTTAATTTCAGCTTAATCAGAGTGTAAAATGAGCTCCTCAAACTGCTCTAGTTGAACTGTAACTTCAAAATGTAGTTTGAGAGCCAAAATTGACGTTCAAAACTGCAATAGCTCAAATCTCACACTAGAATTGTCAGAAATTGAAGTTTACCACTATAGGAGAGCCTGGAATAGGATGTTTATTCATCTCAGTTGAATTTCGGCTCAATCAGAGTGTAAAAAACTGTACATAGGAATCTGTATGATTATTCAAAAACTGTACAGGGTGTTTCCCCATCATATATTGACCCCGCCGCTACAGGGGTTATGTGAAGAGATATCAAAAAATTGTAGATACGAAAGTTTTGGGG